GAGGAGCCCTTCCTGACCACTGTATTTCAGTTACTAACACCCGCTGGCCCACGGCATGTTCTTTCCCCCTTGCCCTTCCTCAATTGCTCCCCAGAGCACTTATATCTGACAGCTCCTTGTTCATTGTTTCTTTTTTTCCTACCGCCCCCCCCCCCCCCCCGCCCTGCCCAGGATAGACTTCTTGTGGATCTGGGCTTGGTGGTTTGCTTTGGTTTGCATGCCCCCATAGTGCCTTTCTGAGGGGACGCTGTCCACCAGGGTCCCTCTGTGCCCTTTGAACATGGGTGCAAGTTGCAAAGCTCCTCCTTTGGGAACTTCGTAGGAGCTGGCGGGTGTGAGGGGTAAGGGGGTAGGATCATCTCTTTCCGGAGATTTCCCCCTTTTGGCTGCATTCCAGAGTCCTCAGGATGCTCTTCCAGATCTTCAAGCTGGAGGAAGGGGGCCTCGTGAATAAGGCAATGTCTACAGAGGCAGGAGGACTGCCGGAGGCCAGAGTCCCTGTGCTGTTTGGATGCCACATTTTCTACCAAGTTTTTGTCAGCAGGCTGGAGGGACCTGTCCACGAATCTGGCTAAATAAAGATTCCTCCTAGCTGGGTCCAGCTCTCCCTTCATTTCCCTTTTTCTCCTTCTCCCTCCTTTCACCTGCAGCCCAACACCCACCGCCTCCATTTCCCAGGAAAATAAATCTCCGGGAGGAGGCGGGAGAGCGGGTCTCAGAGAACCCTTCTGAATAAATGTCTATATTAATGAATTATTAACTCAGCCATCCATGACCTTAAACCTAGAAGCGGGAGCGCCGAGGGCAGACAGGAGAGCTGCTGAATCCTTTATTGGAGTCCTGTCAAAGGCAGTGGACCATTTGTTCCCCTCCTCCATCAGGAAAAAAAATAATATGAAAGGCAAACTTTAAAATTGTATGTCAAACGAAATCAGATAGAGGGTCTCCCTGACCGAATCCTCTTCTTGTTTTCCTGCCTTTTCCTGCCACTCCCGCCTGCTTCCGCCTCCAGCTCCCGTCTTCCCCTCCCAGCTCAGGGTGCAATGGGCTTCCCAAGGATAATTTTCAGGGAAAAAAAATTGCTCGAGAAAATGATGAATTTGGGTAGTTAATTTATCGATCCCGACTCCTCTTCCCACTTGTTTTATTTTAGAGGTCATTAATCAATGAAGAAAAACACCACTGTGTCCCCCCGTTTGCATTTAATACACTCACGCTCCTTATTTATTCCTCTGGAACAAATTCCCAGCAAATATTCGTCCATCGATTTGGGAGCGATGGATTTTTATAAAGGTTTGATCGCTTCCTAAGTGGTGCAAGTGATTTGTTTCCGCGGTCGTCTTCTAAATAATGAAGAGGAGGGGAGCAGATTTGAGGGGCGCCTGTCCTTGCGGCCGGTGGGCTCGCTTTCTAAGACCCCGGGAGGAGATGTGCCAGGGAGGCGGCGAGCCCGAGGGGCCCGGGTTCAACTGGGTAGGTGGGCGGCAGCCTCCGCGGGCACTGAGTGCCCGGGGACCGCGGGCTGGCCGGCCGACGCAGCTCTGCGCCCGCGGGTGGTGGGACCACGCTGACCTCGGCCCCAGCCCAGCCCCTCCGGCCTCATCCGGGTGCCAGCAGCGCCCTGACCCCCAGTCGTGGGCACCCTGGGGAGGCGCTGGGGAATGCTCGGACTCCCGCAGCCCTCCGCTCCAAACCTGGTCTTACGCCCCTGGACTCCCCGGCCTTCTGAGCGCCCGCTCTAACTTTTAACCGCCTCCTTCACGCATGTTCTCTAAGGCCTTTGCACCCTAGGGCCCCGTCGAACCTGATGAGTCAGGGACACCACATCCTGGCATAGGGATGGACCGAGGCTCTGGTTGCAGTCTCCGCTTCTCCCCTTGACCCCCCACAAGGCAAGGGGAGCCAAATCTCCCTCAAGATACCAGACACCCCTCTGGCGTCAGTCTGGAAGGTGAGGGGAGAGGTTGGACCAGGGTGGGCAGGAGAGTACACGTGGTGCCTCATTGGCCCGGTTTCCAGCACTCAACAATGGTGTGACCTGAGGCAACCTAGTTTCTGAGCCTCAGTGTCCCCAATCTGTAACATGGGGTTAATAGTAACGCTCTCTCCGCGGGGCTGCTGGGCAGAATAAACATAGTGGAAGCTCCTACCCGCGCCTGGCCAATCCGAGGCTCTCGTGGACCGATCCCCTAATCTTCCTAGAAAGGCAAACCCCTTGCTTCCCAGGGTATGGGCGCCAGGAGGCCTTGGGAGCAGTTCCTGCAACTGGCGTCTGAAAATTTCGAGAATTTCCAGTGTGTTTGGAGGAGTTCTCGGAGAAGGCCAGTCCAGTGTTATCAAACGCTCGTGCGCAGCCGGCTTGGCTCTAAACAAGAAGGCGGCGGGGCCGCTGCCGGCGGCGTCCGCGCTCCCTTCCCCCGTGCTCCCAGTCTCTCCCAGAGATCCAGCAAGGAACCAGCAGAGTGTGAGAAAGAGAGCTTGCTTGCCCCTTTTCCCGAGGCCCTACGGCTTCTCTTCGGCAGTTCTTCCAGCAAGTGGATTGAAACGGGCCTGGAACTTCCTACTCTTTTCCCGATGGAGTTGTTCAAAGCCCGCGCAGACTGCTCGGTTAGCCTCGGGGCCCACAGCACGTGGGTTTTCCCTCGTGGTGTTGGCCTTAAACTTGGGTACTATCAATCTATCCAAGAATGACTGATGACCTTGTCACAACGACGCCAGTCAAAACATTGTCGGTCCAACTCTGTTCCAACCAGCGTCGAAGCAATCCTGCGTGAGACCCGGACAAAGTCTAAACAGCGCGGTTCCCAGGCTCAGACGAAATGAGTGGTGGGAAGACAAAAAGAAACAAGCAGAAATCAGGAAAGAGTGGCTATCAATTGTTCAGAGTGGCGGGTGCTAAATAAGTTGGCTTGTTTGGGGAAAGACAAATGTCATTTCTTCTCTTTGAGTGTGGACACAACTCCAGCGTGGGGAAAGCGCCTGAACCGGTCAATTTCACAACCCCCCCCCCGCACCGCCCCCGTCCGTGCCCTACCCCCACGGAGCTCTGCCGGTTCCTGGAGGAGCTGGGGGCCGGTGCCCAATTCGTGGATGTGAGACCGCGCAGGGAAGGGCAGCCTCGCGGCCCAAGGCACCCGGAGCGGTCATGGTGGAGGCGGGGCTGCTCTCCCAGCCTGCACCCCGGATACCAAGTTTGGGGCAAGAACCTCCTACAAGACACACTGCCCCCCACCCCCCCGCCGCCGCCGGGGGCAGCCCCTAGCAGTCAAGGGCAAACAAGCTTCGCCGGCGTCCGAGAGCAGTTTAACACCGTGTAAGAGAGCTGGGGATACTTGCCTCCGATGCCCACAGGGAGAAGAGTCCCCCAGGGAGACAACTGGAAAGTGGGTGGGCTTAGCGCTAAGCCCGGTGAGACTCCGCTGCGGCCGCCTCCCGGGCTACGCGGCCAGACTTGAGTCCCGCCAGCACTAGGCTCCCATTAGAGACCCTCGGTCTCACGCCTCCCAGCTCACCAAAGCCTGTCTCCTCGTCTGCAGCCTGAGGCTTTCATACCAGCGCGCAACCCGCCCTGCCCCCGCCTCTCCACGCCAGGATTTCTGTGGGAAGTTGGGTGGCAGGCTAGTAGATTCTGGCACCCAACAGTATTCCTGCAAACACTGAGCGGGGTACAAGCGCAAACCCGGTAGTGGGACTTAGTCCCCTCGCGGTTTGGGCGCGCCTGCTCCAATGCGGACACTCGAGTGCGTGCGGAGATGCATTCCGGTTTCCGCTGCTTGCAAGATCAGGGCCGTGAGCTGGCATCTCGGAAAGACTTATCATGGGCAGAAAGAGACAACAAGCGAGAGCGAGACGTCACGCCAAAAACGGGCGGGGGCCGGGGTGGCTGGGTGGGAGGGCCGAGGAGGTAGCTGTGCGGGAGAGGCGCGCCAGCCGCGTGTGGATCCAGCCGTTAGAACTTCCTTCTTACCCTCTCCCCTCCCCTTCGTGATTCTGGCCTGCCTCCCTCCTCCCCCGACTCCCTACCTCTGTCTCTCTCCCTCTTTCTCTCTCTCTTTTTCTCTCTCTCCCGCCCTCCTCCTCTCTCTCTCTCTCTCTCTCACACACACACACACACACACACACACACACACACACACACACGCACGCACACACATTTGTATTTTGTGCTGTCGTAAAACCCACGTGTCCAGCCGGGAGGCTGCCAGAGTGTGGAGCTGAGGGACCGGGACGCGGCGGCGGCCGAGCGCAGCAGCCCACCGGGGCTCGGATCCGCGCCCGGGCCGGCCCGCGCTCCCGCGCGCTCGGTTGAACTGCTCCAGCGCGCTCCGCCAGCCTCCGCGCCGGTCCCTAGAGGCCAGGGAGGGTTTGGGGCTGCCGGACCACATCAAGGGCTTTCCTTCTCCGCCGCGCAGGGGCATGTAGCGCAGCCGGGACGCACACTCTCCCGCGCGCTCACGGACACACACGCACGCACGCACCCACGCACCCGCCGGCAGTTCCGAGGTTCCAGGTAAGGCGAGGCTAGTCTAGGGCTGGGGGTCTTGGGCCCCCTAGGTAGGAGGCTGGAGATCCTGGGCTAGGGGCGGGGGGCGAGACTGTCCCGCCTCCTGGCGCCGGAGGCCAAGGAGGCTCCGGCGCTGCGCCACTCCGGCTCGGGTCTGCTCCGGGCGCCGGCCGACAGCGGGGGCTACCTCCTGCCGCCGAGTTGTGCGGACGAGCGCCCTCGCGCCGGGCTTCAACTTGCGGGCCGGGAGCTGGGCTCCCCGGGTTGGAAGCAAGGCGGGGTGCACGGAGCTCCCTTCGAGCGGCGCCGCCGCTTCAGAGTAAACTTTGCGCCCTAGCGGAGTTGGAAAGAGGGAGCCGCGGCGCCGGGCGGCAGCAGTAGGAGCCCGGAGCTCAGCTCTCGCTCCGGGGTCTGGGCGGTCATTCTCCCCAGCCCTGGGGCCCGGCTCACGCGCACCCTCCTCTCTACCCTCTGCCCCCAGCTTGAGAGGTCGGACATGCTGAAGCCGGGAGACCCCGGCGGCTCGGCCTTTCTCAAAGTGGACCCAGCCTATCTGCAGCACTGGCAGCAACTCTTCCCGCACGGCGGCAGCGGCGGCCCGCTCAAGGGCGGCGGCGCCGCGGGTCCCCTGGGCGCGCCGCAGCCTCTCCAGCCGCCGCCGCCTCCGGAGCGCGCAGAGCCTCCGCCGGACAGCTTGCGGCCGCGGCCCGCGTCGCTCTCCTCCGCCTCCTCTACTCCGGCGTCGTCCTCCACCTCGGCCTCCTCTGCCTCCTCTTGCGCCGCCGCGGCCGCCGCGGCCGCCGCGCTGGCGGGTCTCTCGGCCCTGCCCGTGGCGCAGCTGCCGGTGTTCGCGCCTCTGGCCGCCGCCGCCGTCGCCGCGGAGCCGCTACCCCCCAAGGACCTGTGCCTCGGCGCCGCCTCGGGCCCGGGCCCTTCCAAGTGCGCCGGCAGCGGCGGGGACCTGCGGGGCGGCCCGCGCTTCCGCTGCAGCGCGGAGGAGCTGGACTATTACCTGTACGGCCAGCAGCGCATGGAGATCATCCCGCTCAACCAGCACACCAGCGACCCCAACAACCGTACGTAGCTGCAGCCCGCGCGCTCTCCAGGGGCGCGGGCGCCGTCCAGCGCGGGCGCCCAGCGGGGAAGCGGGGCGGATGAGCCGAGCTGGGACTTCGGGGGGTGGGCTGGTCCAGGCCGCGGCTGTGCACCTCTTAGACCATTGTGGCAAAATTTTCCCGTTAGAGAAAGCGAGAGAACGTATGGGAAGCCGGGTGGCACCTTGGGGTTCCCTTTTCCTTTCCCCCTCATTCCCTGCTTCGCAGCCCCGCGTATTTAAACCCGAGCTGCTCGAGGACCGGCCACACAGATCTCTGGCCTCCCGTGGGATTGTGCCCGGGGCCGGGCGGGTACGAGCAGCGCACGCGGGAGCTTAGCTTGGCCTCAGTGGGACACGGGAGGGACGCTCAGTTTTTCTGGGGACCGTGAATTCCAGGGCTTGTGTCTCCTTCTCCATACCTTGCTTCTGGAGTTAACTTCATCTGCTTATTTTCGGGCCGCCGGGTTGTCAGGGGACCCGCTGAAAGCCGCTGGAGTAAGAATTTTGGATGACACTGGGTCAGTTTCTTCTCGCAGGCATGCATTATTATTAGGTCTTCTATTTATTTAGAAAGGAGAAAAAGAAAAATTGTCAGCTGCTTAATGAGAAAACATTTCCAACTGTAGGGTGGGGTCGTTCCCTGCGGATCCCGCGTTCTCCCTGCACCCGCGATCGTTTAAACATTCGGAATCCGTAGGCACGCTTGTTGGTTTACTTGTTTTGTTTTGTTTTAAGGATTGTGACAGTGGTTTAGTATTAGCGGCGTACTTTCCTTGTTGCCCAGTAAAGGGCAAATGCCTAATTCAAAAATTAGGCAAAAGGCTAATTAGAGCTCGAGAGTCTCTTCTAGCTTCGATGCCTATATTCAGAGTTTCAAACGCTGCTCACAAGTACAAGCTCTGTTTTAAGGTCTCGCAACAAAAGGCTAAATGAAGGCCAAGAATGTGCATTGGTGCACACCCAGTTCTTTTTGGTAGTGTCAGAAGTTATGATGTGAACACCTAAGGCATTGGTGTAGGTGTTCCACATAGTTCCAGAGATCTCTGGAGAGAATATTAAAGGTGAAGAGAGTCAGGTTGAAAGCAGTAGAGGATTTGCAAGCTCAGCGCTCACTTGGCCCTTTTCATCTCATTCCTTCCTTAAGTTCCTGCAGGAGGAAAGTTGATGATCAACACGTATAATCATTCTATTTTGAGTAAGCCCCTTCCTGCAGAATGGCTACTGCTCCCTGAACTTCTTAATTCCCTGAACTTCTTAATTCGTTGTAAAAGCAAAATAACTACAGGTTTTAGCTAAAGGACTCCCAGAGTCATTACTTCGATGAGGATACACTAGACAAGAGCCTAGGGATGGCGGTATTTCAGTCTTTTCATAAGGGATGGGGATCGTTTTTCTGATGGAGATAATTATTACTAACAAAAAAGAGCAGTTATATTTACTTTTTCCCTCTCCAGAGCTTGAGGGTAAAGTACTGGTTTAAAATGAGGGTTTCTCCTCGAATTTGCCCTGTGTATTTTAGAACTTTAGAAGATTTGATAAAATTATATTGTCCTAATGGATTAAAAAAAAAACCCATTTACTTCCTCCTGAATTTCTTGACTATGTTGTTTTCACAAACAGTTCTTTTTTTAAAAAATGTGAATTAAAAAGGCAAGAAACGCTTTGGAAAAGACAGTTCTGAAATATAGGCATTGTGGCCTGAGCGTGCCTCATCAAACTTGCAGTTTCTCTGCTGAATTAAATGAATGTCGGAAAAGATGGCAGCAGCAGCACGCTAAACCTCTGGCTGTGCCCTGGGCTCCTGTATTGTTCACAGTGCAGTCTTAAGGTTCGGTGCATTTTCAGAAGAAAACCTAGATTAATCTGAGAAAGAATTGGGAGAGATTGCTAATTAATATGTGGTTATTGAGCCATTGGATCATCCAGGTAACATTTTCCTCTGGACGGAGGAAATGGATTATGATTTATTTAAATTATTCCCATTGTGTTAATCTTCCGGTATCCCCTTTTAAGTCGACTGACTGAACTGCTTCCCTGTGCAAAGTGCGGGGAGTGGGGGGGGGGGCCACAGAAGGCAGAGAAAGGCAGTTTGTCCTATTAGAGGTTACACTTCTCGTTGTTTCCTAATTAAAGGGCCTTTGAGAAAGAAAATGGAAAGCTGAGGTAGCTTTGTGTAATGCTGGCCGAGGGGGCCTGTCATCCTTCCAGAAACTTCTCTGGGCCAGAGTACACACTCATTGGAAACCTTGGGATGTGTTTTCCAAAGATAGAGTGAGAAGTGCTTGAGTTTAATCTGGGGGGGGCGCGGCGGAGAGGGGGTCAAAACAAAATCGAAATGCAAAGGGTGGGAAACTTTAGGCCCCCCACTTCTCGGGGGAAGTTGGTCTGTTACTTGGAAGGTGGTGAAAACCAGAGCTGCTGCTTATTCCCATGTTATATGAGGGTGGGGGTGACATGGGGTGGGGTGAGGGGCTGCCAAGAAGGGAAGCATCTGTTAATTTTTCTCCCCTGCACACACTTTCCTAGTTTCCTTTTAGGTTCTTGCCATCTGCTTGTAGAAGCAATCTGTGAAGTGACCACTCTGCATTGCTTCATTCTATTATTTTGTATTTAAAAGGATGTTGAGTCATTTTCTTTCTCTTACAAGGCTAAAAAAGGGACCCCCTCAATTCTCTTCCCTTTACAAGAGTCCCTCTTTGCCTGGGAGCAACAACCCAGTAACACGTGTGAATCATTAACACTCGCTTCACCTTGAAACTTTACTGGCATCTTTGGCCGAGACCTCAGTTAAGGCATAGCGGAGGGTCCTGTAGTTTGCTTTCACACGAAAGGACTTAAAAACAGCAGACACTGTATATGCTGGCTGGGGTGAACTCTTCCCATATATTTCTCTTATCCCTGTGGGTTTATTCCACCATGGAAGTACACTTTCTCCTGACTCTCTGCATGCCTATTTGCCTCCTTTTTTCACCTCCCGAATCCCGGTGGGCGGTGGCATAACAGAAATGGAAGATGGGGCCTTTCTTCCGTGTCTTGTATTACCGTCCGCCCGCATTTGCTGCCTGGTTGCCTAAAGCCGCTGATTAGGTCAGGCTCCTCCGCTGTTTGCCTCTTCTCGGCTTGGGGAGCTGGTGCCTTGCTTGAGACCCCGTCACTCCTCTTGGAAGGTAGGGAAAGGCGGCCACAGGGCGCCCCTGGTGTTTGTACGAATGATACCGGGCAGTGCCTCGGGCCTGGCTGATTGCCTTTGCAGACCTTCCAGGGAAGGTGTTCCTTTTTTCCATCTGGGAGGGAGTTGGCAGCTAAGCCCTCCCCGGAGGGGTCTCTCCGCGTGGGATGGGGACGCTTTGCAACTTCCCCAGCTGGAGGTCTCTGCCTCCTTGCACGTTGGGGAAGCCTTGCTATGCAGGGAACAGTGGAGGGAACAGCACTGGCAGGTGCTCAGGTGTCAGAGTAGGGCGCGAGGCTTTTATCTTAGTAGCGCCACCCTTTCCAAGGGCTGGGGGAGAGGGGTTTTGTAAGAGAAGGGAATCCGGGGTTTGTCCAGTAGCCGTTAGAGAGAGAGATGGGGAGAGCACGCTAAAAGGAGGGTACTATCAGACCTGCCCCAGTCTCTTCCCATCCAGCTGGAAAACGCAGGTCCTATTTGGGGGAGCTCCCGAGCCCAGTAACCCCACAGTGGGGTCTTCCTGCCACTAAGGCCCAGGCTCCGCTGCTCCTGCCCAGCGTCCCCGCTGTCAGCCGCCAGCGACTTAGATTTCAGACCTAGTCCCTTGTGGGAGGGAGGCTGGGAGCCAGCGTGTGGGCTTTCGTGTTCTATTTTTCTTTTTCTCTTTTCTCTCTTTTTGTGTGCAGGCCCAGCCCCATCCCGTAACACACATGATTTAGCTATTTTACATCATTCGTTATCTAGCGCCCTGAAACTTAACATAGAGCCATATATTAGATTGAGGTTAGACGAGGTGGCGACTGTTTATTTAAGGTGATAAAATGGTCCATCAGCAGTAATCTCCATCGATATGTGCCACCAGGAGATGAAGGATGAGGGGACAAGCCACAATTAATTGCCCTATGGTTTTGTAGGGGAGAGTGGAGCCAGCCCAGGCCCGCTTCGATCTCCTCTCCCTCCTATTCATCATCTCTGTGTTGTGTATGGCCGCCTCGCAGGGGCAGGGGCCAGCCAGGTTTATCTCGGCGCAATATTCTCCCGCCCGCACACCCCGGCGCTCCCATTTAATTTATTAATACAGTCATCGGAAGACAAGTAAAATCCACATTGCGTCCCCCCCTTTCTGTTCCTCCCCCTTTTGTCTCTCGCTCTTGGTCCCTGGGCCAAGCCGGCAGCCAGGCGGAGCGGGGGAAGCCCTGTGCCTGTGCGATTTCGCCGGGAGCTTTAAACTCGCCTAGAGAGAGCGCTCCAGAAGGTTCCGCGCGCCCACAGTCGGCTCCCCTCACCGGCGGTCGGGGCTAGCCTGCCTCGCCTTCTGGACGCGCCTCTGGGGCCTCTCCCGGGAGCCCGAAAGGCTCCAGTGGGGCGGAGGCCGAGCAGCCGCGGGGAGGGGGCGGTGTCGCGGCCACTTAGGTCTCGTCGGGGAGCCCCCGGCTGGCAGGGAGGGGCCGAGGCCTTCAAGGTTCGGACTTGGGTGCCGGACCTCCAGCCGGCCTGGGCCTGGCCATCCGCCCCGTCCCGTCTAGCCTCTGGCGCGCGAGGGCTGGCTGCAGAGCGCAGGCTGGAGGCCGGGGGCGTGCACCCCGGTGTGGGAGCCTCTGGCCGCGGCGCCCTGCTTGCCCCCAGTCTCCGGACCCCGGCAACCCCGCGCCCGCGCCCGGAGCGCGCACGCCGCTACCAGCAGGCGGCACTCCCGGGGCGCTTCGCCGGCCGGGATCGGTGGGCGCCCGCCCCGCTGGGCTCGGCCTGTGGGCCTGGGGGCCACGACCTCCCCAGCGGTCGGGGACGATTTATAACTTGGCTGTTACTGCCGCCCAAGCGGGGAGGCAGGCTTCTCAGCTGAATCTCGGTGTCCTTTCCAGAGGATGAGTGAGGGCAGGCGGAGGCCTAAAGGCGTCGTGGAGCCGAGGCTTGGTCTGGTGGGGGTTTTCCCCGCGGGTCCTGGCTCTGCCGGGGCCCACACGCGTCCGTCAGCCTCCCCAGACAGCAAAGAAGGCCCGAAACGTTTTAAATTTCACCTTTCCTAGAACGCGAAGTGAAACACCAGGAAAGAAAACCATGGCCTGCTTCCCCCCCCCACTTTACCTTCAAATAGCTCCGTTTTCAGTTGCAAAAGTTGTGTGTGTAGTGGGAAAAATACTCCAACAGTACACAAGGGTATGAAATGAAGAGTGAAAGTCTGCTTTTCGTTACACTTGGCCTGGCCTTCCCAAGTCAGGGGGTGAATTCAGTCTGTAACCTGGTGCTCCCTCCTCTCATTCAGGGGTGCAGAAACAGGAGCACTGACAGACCTACTAGAGACAGAGGAGGGAGGGACCATGATCTCTCCTATCGCCAAATCCTAGAAATAGCGTTGCACAGTATCTTGCTTGGAGATTTCTGATTATGTTTCTCACAGATATAGAAAACACTTTACAAATAATAATTAGGGACTTACGGAAAATTACCCTTTTATTTTAGGATAACCCAAGAACGTTTATTTGCTTACTCTTTATGAATACAAATAGACTTGTATTATGTATTTCCTGGCGTGGAATGTTGTGTGTAATGTATGTGTGATATACATTTTGGAGGGGTGCAGTTGGGGCATCTAGTCAGCTTGTCCCTCAGACCTCCTCTTATAGGTGTTTATGGCTCTTCTCTAGAAAACACTCTGTTAGAATGTTTGTCTCACTGTGACGCTTTTCTCAACCCCTGAGTAATAACTGAACTTGTCTGAGGCATCTTCACAGTCTTCTGGGACCCTGAGACATAGAGTAAGAGGCCAGGTGTTTTCAATGGCAGAGGTTTTGTATATTAAAAAACAACAAGGTATAAGATGTAATTGGATGGCATTGGTCAACTTCTCCAGCAGAATATTTTGATGGAAGCACGAGGTGGTTTATCAGTTAAGACTCACGTAATTAAAGTGAATTGGCCTCCCTTTTGCTGCTGTGGACTTCATACACCAGTAGTCTTCTACATATTGGGAGAAACTCTGCTTTTTCTAAAGCAAAATGCCACTATTAAGTTTTTCAACACCGCTGGAGACCGTTGAAACTTAGGTAGAAGAGAGTTTCGGAGGACCGCTTGGAGGAAGGGCTGGCCATAGTTTTAGCCTGTGTAACAAATATGGGGAGTGTGTTTGCTGTCTGTGGGGGTGGTGGCCGGAGTTGGTATTTTTCCTCCTTATTTTATTACTGATGTATTTGATCTGATAGTACAAGTTGCGGAGATGTGGGAAGTTGACAGGATCTCTGGTGTGGATGGGTGGGGAGTGAATACCAAATGCTCTTGCTCCTTACCCTGTGCCTGGTTGAGCCAGCCAGAAAGGGAAAGGGAGTTAAGCAGCACCCTGGAGTGATTTGATTTTTATTTTTTACGGGGCATGTTGCCTTTGCTTATTGCCATTTGTTTTAAGCTGTTTTTGCTACGATGCTGAAAGGTCATCTCTGAGGTCAGACACTAAAATTCAGAATCCAGGGTATCATCTGTTCACTTTCCGATACGTTTAACCTCCCCAAACCCAAGTGTGGGAGAGAGATGCAGAAATCTCTGCAATTTGCTGATGCTAGAGCAATTTTTGTGCCCCCCCATAATGCTTTCAGTGAAATACTTCAGTTCTATTGATTATGTGTTTGGGTATAAAACTCTCCCAGCTTTCACTGGTCTCCGTAGATCTTTAGATCTGGAGGCTTTGAAGTCATCCAAACCTGACTGAATCTTTCTACCACTTTCTAATTTCTGATCCTTGGTCTCGTTAAAATTGCCCATGAAGCCTCAAATTGCCTCATCTGCAAAATGGGGATCATGATACGATATTTGGTTCAAGATAGGTGTCTGGAATGCCATAGGCACTGGGTGACTTTGAATTTTTATCATCTTTCTTTCTTTCCATTCCCCCCTTGTCATGAAGTTGTCGTTTTTCACAGTCAGAACCTTGAGAGGATGTGTGAAGCGTTTCTGGAAGGGCTGACATATGGTAAGGTTAGGGATACTTTCCACCTAGGCTCTAACGTCCAAAGCAGAGCCTGATGCTCTACTTGGATTAGTTGGTGTTACTGGGAGAGGGGGCCTTTGTGTGATGGACGCCCAGAGGCATGGGCACTTCCCCACCTGTAGAAACAGGTTGCTGCTTTTCACTTGGGGGGACTGGGACCCCTCCAGGAGGGGTCTGACCCCTGCAGTCAGAGAGTCCCTCATTTCCTGGGCTTTCTTGGGAGGAGTGCGGGATAGGGGGCTGAGGGGAAGCATGGCCGACTGGAGCCCTTCTCCAATGAGATGGGATGAAACAAATGGCAAAACCAGGGTTCGCGCCCCGCAGCGGGGTTTACCTTTAGGGGTTCCTTCCTTGAAGATTCCTCAGTGATTCTCTTTGTCAAAGGTTACCTGGGCTTTCCTCTGTCTTAGCACGGAGGGGACACAGAGCGATCCCCCAGGCCTGGCAGCGACCAAAGCCAGGTGCAAGAGCTAGGAGGATCCGAATGTGCCCCACTTCCCGCCATCCATCCGTTCGTCCGTCTGTCCGTCCCTAGCCACAGGGCTCCCTTGCGTAGGGGGTGAGGCACTGTGGCTCCCCAGGGAGGCTGGGCTGGGGAGGCCGGGTCATGCTGGCAGGCGCCGAGGCTGCCTCGCTGAGGCAGGTCTGCAGGGCCAGGGCGCAGACACCGCGGCTCCGCCAGGCCCATTAATAACCCGGAGGGCGCTGCGATCCGACAGCGCGGTCGCCGCAGGCCCTGCTTCCCGCGGCCGCCTGGCCTTTTCCCATCCAGTCCGAGTGCAGGGACCCTGGGCATCCACAGCCACCCGACCCAGCGGGAGGGCAAGTGTCCCCTTGCGCTGCTGGCTGCTCTGGGGGGCGTCAGAGAGGGAGCCTTGTTCACAACAGTTGTCCTTCGCTTACAAGTCCTGAGAATTGCTTGCGGCCATGGGGATCAACCCTCTGGGCAAGAGTTGGGGCCCTCGCCACTGAACCGTTACCCTGATCCTTAAATTTGCAATTTATTCCTTTTTGGCTTCTGGGAACAGCTTGAATTCCAGCATAGGCACTCCAAACCCACCAGAACAGTCCCCCCTTTTCCACCCGTGGCCAGAGCGGGCTCCATCACAGACCCCAGTGCCAGTGCGCCCTCATTGGCCAGTGTCTGATGTGCTGGAGGCCACCGGCGGGCCACGGTGACTCTGCACTCTGGCGCAGGCACCAGGGAGTGGGTGGGTCCCTACAGAGTAAGCAGGGCGCTCTGTGCTGGGCTGGTAGCCCACCTGCCCCAGTGGTTTTAGAAGGATCTTCTAAAATTGTAGAAAGAAGAAAACCAATTATACTCAGGCGACCAAAGTAGAATCTCTCTGAGACAGAAGGTTGAGCAAGAGATGGGGGTCTGCTCCTGGCACCGTGAGAAACACACCTGCAAACCCCTGGTCAAGAGAGGACTCCCGGGAGCAGGGGAGAGGAGCAGAGGGAACTAGAGAAAGAAGGGAAGAAGGAGAGAGAGACACACCTCGAGGAGTAGAAAGCAGGCCATGGGGGATCCTCAGCGAGAGCCACACCATCCACACCCAGCTCGCCAGCCTTTTGGGACACGGCGGGGGTGGGGGGGGGGTTGCCCCCTACCGGGCCGATTTGGGTGCGGCAATTTCCCTCTCCCCACCTTCCCAGGGGCTTCGGCGGCCTACAGGGCTCACTCGGCGGGTGGCTTCCCGGGAGGGGATGGGGTGGTCTCGGGGTCTCTCTCCCCGAGGAGGGGCCGCCTGGAGCGGCGGGTTAACCTTCTTCCTTCCCTCCCTCCCGCCCGTCTCCGGCAGGTTGCGACATGTGTGCGGACAACCGCAACGGCGAGTGTCCCATGCACGGGCCGCTGCACTCGCTGCGCCGGCTCGTGGGCACCAGCAGCGCCGCGGCCGCCGCGCCGCCGCCGGAGCTGCCCGAGTGGCTCCGGGACCTGCCGCGGGAGGTGTGCCTGTGCACCAGCACCGTGCCCGGCCTGGCCTACGGCATCTGCGCGGCGCAGAGGATCCAGCAGGGCACCTGGATCGGGCCCTTCCAGGGCGTCCTTCTGCCCCCGGAGAAGGTGCAGGCCGGCGCAGTGAGGAACACACAGCATCTCTGGGAGGTAAGCCCCTCTTGGCCCAGCACTTTGCCAGCCCTTTGGAGCTTTGGCGGGCGAAGAGCCTGGCCCTTGGTGGTGGGGGCGGGGAACAGCTTTGGGGAGAGTCTCCCTTGTTCTCCAGATGGCAGTGGAAGATAGGTTTCTCTGGTCATGCAAATGCCAAGGTGTCCACAGCACCTGCAGAAAGGAGGTGCCTGCTTTGGCCTGGCCCAGCAGGAACCCAGCGGGAAGACGGGGCCTCCAGGTTTCTGTGTGTAACAAACCTCTGTTCCCGCTGGGTTGGATTTGACTGTTGGTCTCCCTGGGTCTTGAGAGAAAGAAAAGCCAGCAGAGGTGACAGAGCAGAGGAAGCTGGGGCATTGGGGTGTAAGCTAGGTGAATTTTGTGTCCCATTCCGAGTTCTTCCAGGATGGTTTCGGGCACTGGGCAAGAAGGAACATAAGCATAAACGGGAGGAAGAGTCAGGCTTCTTTTCTCAGATAAAACCATTTTTCTTAATGCTGAAGTGGAGAGCCTGGGGCATGTTTCATAACTTTCAGAGTGTCCCAAGGAAGCAAAATTACCTCATGAGTCAGAAAAATCACAAATTCTGCTTCTTCTCGGACAAAGTACAATCATGCAGCCTTCCACAAGACAGAGGATCAAAACAGAGGGAAACTCGGAGCACTTTGATATCGCCCAATTAATGATATTATTTCAGTGGCACAATCTTACCTCAGGCTATTATTTAAAAATCAGCAGTGTATTTGAAAAATGTTAATCTGAGATTTCTCCCAGAGCTTTACCATTGATTTCTGAGATCCAGCGCTGAAGAGGCAGATTCTTAGCCATAGGTGGTCCCCCCAACTAGCTTTAGCCACCTCTCATCTATGGAGTGATTTCTGACATACAAGATGGTGGAAGTCTTACCCCTTAGGGCCATATGTAAATGTCACAGAGGCCAGGCAATATAATGGGAGTAGCCAGAAAAGAAAGTCTGTCAAGAGGCCTGCTTGGCCAGGACCTTAAGGCTCCGTTAATGGGTCATTTCTGCGTACACTCATTGTGTCATACACTTGGTTGCTGGCCTGTCAGGATGGGCATGCTCCCTGTGAGCTGCCGCCTAGTCACTGACTAAAACTCGGGGGACTCAGTAACCCACTCAGATTTTCGCTGAGCCCTCCAGCCAGCACCGTCTTAGGCCCTGGAGACACAGTGTTGTGAAAAACAAATCTGGTCTCCACAAGCATTCCATGAAGGTTGGCATGGGGCACTGGGGCCTGAGCTGGTAAAACCCCCTTTGATGGGGGGGCGGGGAGCTAAGTGGTTAAACTCACAGCCCAGGAGCCCAAGGTGGTAACATGGTGGCCATGGGCCGCACACCCCACCCTTATCCAGGCTCCCAGCTTCCATTTCGCTCCTAAACTGGAAAAAACAATGACACATTTTTAATCTTTCAGGATGAGATTTCTTGAGCGAGGAAGAAAATGTTGGGCGTCTTTATGTCACCAAAGAGTGCCTTTCTTTCTTTCTTTCTTTCTTTTTTTTTTTTAAACAGATTTTTTTTTTTATAGGAAAACGGCAGGAGAAAATGGCTTGGTACGTAGAGCCAGGTTAGAATTTAGAGCTTTTTGGATTGGAAAAACTGACAAGTGGGGAATAATCAAAGCATCTGGTTTTGAAATATTTCCCAGTTGGTTTTTGTTTCTGACTAATTAGTTGTAACCTCCAATGCGGTTTAAAGTTTATAAAACACTTCCAGGCACTTTTCATGTTCCAGTAGTGTTATTAGGAGCTCTAATACCCTACAGTTTAAGGTCTGCCAATACTTTTCCGAGGAGATGGTGAAGCAGTTGTTTAAGGGTACAGATTTGTTCCATCTGCAAATGGTAAAATTGAACACTGTCATATTGCCCTCTGATGCCCCAGGTTTGGAGTTCATCTATTTTTAGAGTGTCAGGGGAGGGAGTCATAAACATGAAAAAAAAAAAAAAAAAAAAAACCAACAACCCAATAGTTCATTGTTTCGTTTTGCTTTAAAGGATCTGGATATGAATGGGATGTTGGCTGGAGATCACTACACAAACAGAATATAATGATAGATATTAATACCGAAAAGTATAGAGCCTTCTTTTTGTGCTTTTCCTTGCACTTGATTAACTTAAAATTCTGTCGAAATAAGGAGGGTGGGAATTGAGCGATGTTGTTGATGCCTCAGTGGAGAGGAAGTGCGTCTTCCCTGTTGTTTTAGGTACGGGAGTTGGTTCTGTGTTAGAAAGACTTGCTGGGTGTGTGCGTGCTTGAATCCTCTCCAGATCCTTCCTTGTAGATTCAGAACATGATCTATTTATTTTTATCATCTGTTAGAACAGTTAGAATAAGCAAATATTGCGGGGATGGAAGGGATATTAAAAGTGATCAAAACTGCAACTGTGCAAAATGTATCTGTCCCCTGAGTGAACCTATAAAATGTGACAGAGCACGGCCAGGTAACTTAGGGCCAATGTCCATTTGTAAGATAAAACACTTACTCTAATAGGTTTCAGGTTTTTATTCGTATGATTATTTTTATGCCATGAAGTCTGAGTTTATTTTTAATTTTAAGCTTTATGATTTTTTTTTTTAACGAAACATGACACTTTGAATTTAGTCAAATTTACGACGGGAGAGTCTAAGTGTTAGATTGTTCCTGAAATGTTAGTCTTTGCTTTCAAACCTAAATTCTCTTGTGGAAAAAGTCGTCATCATCATCGTATTCTTCCTATTAAGAAAGATTCCATCATCGGAATACACGGTAGATCTATAGGAAATTTTTAGCACTAATTAATGACTCGTAATAATTATCCATTAAAAAAACATTCTTTTCTTTTTTTTTTTTTAAAGATTTTGTTTATTTGACAAAAAGAGAGGAAGAAAACAAAAAGAAGGAGGAGAGGCGGGCGGGGGGGGGGGGGGGGAGCAGGCCCCCCACTGAGCAGAGAGCCCGACATGGGGCTCTATCCCAGGACCCCGAGATCATGACCCGGGCCGAAGGCAGAGACTCAACCCACTGAGCCACCCAGGCGCCCCCCAAAAAACACATTATTTTAGACATCTTCCAGATTATCAGGTCGACATAAAGCAGATCTTTAAAAACTTAAAAGCAGTCGAATTGTTACTATTTCATTTTAAAAGTCAATTGGAATCGTCTCTCTTGCTCACATTTTTTTTCAAGTCACTTGCTGATGAAGAAATGTCTTTATATTTAGAGTTCAATACTCGGGGCCTGGCTGGATCTTACCGGGGTTACTTATCTTTATTTCAGTACAATAAATGGATGGCTAATCTTTCCCCGTCACTATTTCCAAGTAGATGATGGATCTTTGTTTCAGTTTACAGCCCGTTGTTTTTAGTACGGCTGTACTTTATTATACACATGAAGGCTTATTACAGAAACAATCAGATTCACCTTTAGTTACTGCTTTTGTTTAATCATTAAAAGCTCTATTTTCTTTGTAGAAAATGACTTTTTAATATTTAACATACATCAGCCGTGGGGAGCTTATTTGATTGTTCTGTCAGTATGCTGTCATCTTTTAGTTAATATTTGCTTTGTGCTAATCCTGGTTCTTAAAAATATAGCAACTTAAAGGAAGTTCAATATCATTCCATTACCTTCAATATATTTTGGGCTCTTTGGGGGTATCTGAGGGAAATTCTAGGAGTTGTTTTTTTTTTTTTTTTTTTTTTTTTTTTTTTTTTTTTTAAAGCCAGGAGCCCAGGTGATTTTTTTTTTTTTTTCTTTTGTAGTTTAAGGAGATTAACAACTAAAAGCCAAATTACTATCTTTTTTTTTTTTTTTTTTTTTGGCCAGTTTCATTTAGAATCTGGCTTTTACAGAAAATAATAAAATAATTTTACAAAAAATAATAAATTCACTGAGTTTAAAACAAAAACATTACAGGATGGATTAAACAATCACTCGCTTTTGCTTATATACATTTATTCCAGCAAGACTTGGATGCATGGTATATTTCTAGCTCTTTGGCCAAAATGAGAAAAGTCTTTCTGAACATTTTGCAAAGAAAACATAGTCTTTCTCAGCAATTAGGTCTTTTTGATGAGAGTGAGATAATCTTGTTCTAATGTGTTTTCTAATAAAGAAATGAAAGGCACGTTTGATTTCAACATTTATGAAAACATTATCTCAATTATTAATGTGCCCCTTTTCCCTTGAGATAAATTAATCTAGTTGCACATGGTTTCCCCTTTCTGCTTAACATCAGAATTTAATGTGACTGGACCTGAGGAATGTATGTCGTGCAAACCTAAAATTCTATTGGATATAAAATACGGAAGTTTAAAATAAAGTTACAGTTTAATTAAGATGGGCCAGAATTACCCAGGCCTTTATATCAGAGTCTGATTTGACAGGGAATTTTAGGGACAATGATAAAATTAATCGCACTTGTTTTCACCCTCGAAAAATTACGCTGCTAATTGAAATAACGTAGTGACTTGTTAAGATTACAGTCAAGGTACTAGAGAGGGCTCTAATTTTATAGAATCTGTCTTTGCCTCAGTAAATTTCAGTGTCTTGTTTTCATTTACACTATGTGAAAACCTTCATTATTTTTCTTCAGAAAAGCAAGGGGGGATAACATAATGTGGGGCATTTTTTTTGTGTGGTTTGATTTTATGCCATAATATTTTAGATTTAATAAGAGATTTGCTTCTAAGCAAATGGTCAATTTTTCATCATTACCATTTAGCTTAGGTCAAAAGACATTGATGAAACCAATATTAAAAATATATTACACATTGCTAAATGTTTATATTTCAAAACCATCACTGGCAATTGGTGCTTGAAGGAAATGAATTGGCTTCATATTTTAAATGCATTACTTATATTTTTTTTATCATCACCCAATTCCACGTAGAGTACTGTACTCACTTGTATATATATTTAGATGTTGAAAAGACAATTTAAAATTAATCATTTAAAATGAAATGAAAATCACTTAAAAATTTGATTGAAATCATTT